TATTTTAAAACAAATGTTTAATTCGAACGATTTTATCAATAATTGAAAGTAATTTAAATAAATAAAAATAACATTTTTAACTAAATGAAATTAAAATAAATTGGTATTGACATTCTAGTTTTCAATTTTTAATATTATTTACCGTTCATTTCATTATTTTTAATTATATTACATAGCATACTTTTATAAATTTATTTTTATAAATAAATTTGTGTTAATCGTTTTCTGCAAAAGTAGATTAGGTTGATTGCAAAATAAATTTTGCTTTAAAGTTTTAAAACGTACAAAAAGTAATGAACGTTCCAAAATGGAGAGTTACGTTCTACGACAAGCTTAAGATTAGATTTCATGTCTGAGCTGGTAAATCACAGGATGAAATAACATCAATAAAAAAAATTACTTTATGGTGAAAATACATTTTTCAAAATAAATCTCCAAAATTAAGGAGCTAAAATACTTGGATTTTTGTATGAAACACTAGAAAGGTTAGTGGGTTCCATTTGTAGTGCTTTTGTAAGTATTGCAGTGGTATTCAGATCTTCCCTTTGGACCTTAAAATCCATAGATCACGTGGAGGTGTCGCTCCTTTTCGTACTTATATTCAGGGCAAGTCTCAAAGTGAGTTGGATCTAACTCGTTATGGAGGTATGCAGCATCTCTCATCCTTCCTGTTCATCACCTCTTTACTGAGTTTAGCTGCGCAAGCAAGATGAGACCATATAGCGTATTGTCTCTAGTTCTTAAAAAGATCGTTCCCTTTAGGTTTCATGTAGTTCCAACATGGAGCAGATTGGCCTTATCTTAAAAGTTAAAAAAATAAGTTAAAAAATATTACTTTTTTTCACATGCCACACTTAAATGGAGTGGTGCAATTTTATATGTCATCAACGGAGAAAATCGGAAAATCCTCTAAAACGGCCATTATTTCAGGTTGGATGGAAAAAGGAAAAAAGATACTTCAACTCTAAGGCGATTGATTCTAGACTCTATTCTAGACTAGTGGGCAATATATTAGATTTTCAATATTAACTCAAATTTAATATTTTTGTGATAAACTTTTAAAAAATTATCATTAATTTTTGTTGAAATAATTTTAGAAAAATTGAAGTTATTATTTAAGAGAGAATAATTTACCGATATTGAAGTCTGGGAGATTTAAGAAGCGACCGATTAAAACGTGGAATGGCTTGGTGTACTGCAGCCGTTGCAGGAAATAAATCATCACGCGGATAATGAAAATCCGTTTAAGGTAATATATTTTTCACTGCACGGTCGCTTTTTTTAATCCCACAACTCCCACTCTATTTTTTTTATTTTTTTTGTATCCACTCGAATCCCGGATCATTTATTTCCTAGCTTTCGAACCATAACATCGCCGTCACGTCGGAACGTATCCAGGATCCGGGGATGCACAGCCCTCCGCATCCTGCCGCTCCGTTATCGTCGGGCAGATACGCCAAAATGGATACTGTAAGCACCTCCCGCCAGCAACTACTTCCTGAGAACTACACAGGAAGTTAGTGTAAGGTGTAGGAGGATCTGTAGTCAGAAGCCGGTCCTGTCTTTCCTGCTGCATTTCCTGCTGCGAGACGCTGCGAGGTAGAACCGCGGGAGGAAAATCAGTTTGTAACCCTGAATAAAGCCACTTCAAGTTGATATATTACAACAACGGTCCTCATGGTAGTAAGACTTTTTTGAAATCCACGCGACGGAAATAAAAGTCTCTTGCATAACGCATGCAGTGCACGACTTAATTTGCATGACATATGGGCGTTTCGCGCGAAACGCGCCGTCCAATTCGGGGTTCGCACGAACGCCCTCTCCGCAAATGAAGCATATTTTTATTAATTTTGTCGGCCTTCGGCGTATGCTAATGTCGCCGGAAAACGTTTATGAAATTTTCATCCCCCGGTTATCGTTTGAAACGTATGCAAATGCACCAGTCCGAAAGTAGATCACGTTGAAAAAGCGACGTTGGATTCATTTTCCAGCGGGCTTCGTTAGATATTCAACTAAAATTGAGTTGACTCAACTATTCAATAATATCTAAAAGTAAAAAACGAAAGGTTATGAAACTATTATTGGATATCAATTTTTCATTCGGTGTAAATACCGAAAGTTTGATGAATAAATAAATTACAAATACATTTTTAAAATAAAGTATCGATCACATTTTTTAATTTAAAAGCGTTCATTCGAATGAATTTTTGATGAGAAACCTTATAAAGTATTAAAACCCAGCAAAATTCGGTTTAAAGAAAGAATTCGTTTCCTCTTAAAGGTTTGTTAAAAATTAAACACAAACTCTATTCCATTTATCTCTTAAATATTACGATATTCAACAAAATTGTATCACATTATTAAATAATCAATCTATTTGAAACGTTAAAGTATATAAAGCGAAATGTATATCCTATTTTTTTATTTATAACAGTGTTCTCTCAATAAGGAATGAATTTTTTATATGAAGCTTTATAAAATATTACAAAACAAGTAAAATTCGATTTTGGCGAGGGAGTCGAGTTTAATAAACCTTATAAATACGATTTATTACGCGAAAATGTTGATTTGACTAGAAAATAGAAAACAAAACAAAAAACTATGTTACTTGGTGGAGTTTCATAATACAACATAAAGGGTGTATTAAAATATGCAAGACACGATTCTGGCATAGGACCAACCAATAACACGCGGCCCAACTTATAACCATCACCAGCCCATAAGTTGGCATTACACCAGTGCAGGGCCGGTCTACTGAATATATGAGCGGGTCATAAATTCGCCAACCGATCGTAATTCATAGAATATTTCTCTCGGGCGAAGACAGGAAAGGTGCTCCCCAACACTTCGCGCGCCCATGCATAGTGATGTACGACCCTTAAACATTTTTTCTTTTTTTTTCAACCCTCCGGTATTCGCCAAAAACTAACTAATCACTGTTTCGGGTCAATCGAATTACGCATTAAGTGCTGGAGCACGAAGCAGTACTGCGACTTAACTCCCTTAACTTATATTAACTGCCTTCTTAAGCGACCCCGAGGTAAGTTATTTATTGACCTTCTCTCGAAGCAACGGCGGGCGGGCGTCCCAATTTTACCGATTCCCGGTTACACCAAGTGATCAATAATTAACGCCAACTTGTTATTGGCGAGAGGTACGTACCCCTTTAATTCGATGAATGCACCTTAATTTATGTGCAAGATCGATAGTAGCGGACTTAATGCGGTTACACTTCCTCGAGGAACTTTGTATCTTACCTCCTTAAACACAGATACTTGCAACTAAGATTAATTTAATACCTGAAATTAAGTAACATTTCTCAATATCTTTAGAAAATAATCAATACTAACTTAACTAAAAGTAGAAATTGGCACTAATTAGTAGTTAATTCCTAATTGATAGCTAAGACAGAATTTCAATCGACATTAAGGTAACTTTAACAACCTAGAATTTATGGTGAATTTTCTATCTAATCATAAATATAAAAAATTGATCAAAAAAGAGTAGCTATAAAAATATTGATGAAAAGTGTGATTAAAATTTTTTTTGCCGAATATAAATGAGATTTTTAAAATCGAATTTTCCCGTAATAAAATAGATAATTATCTTTGTATATCCTGGAAATATTACAACAATATTCCAGAAATTGGGTTTTTCCCGAATTTTTATATGATTGAAACAAAATTAGTAAATCACAAAATTTCCTTTAATTTAAAAAAGTTATAACTCAAAAAATAAAAACTTTCAGAATGATTATTATTGATTCAATAATTAAATGTTAAAATTTAATGTATAAATGCGAGAAGTTAAAAAATCATATCTTAAGAACGCATTAAGATATTATGACGAAATAGCAAACATTTTAAAGCCAATTTAATATAAATTTAGTTGCCGTAAATAATCCAAAAACATTGTGGTTATGATTCTTTTAACTCAACTATGCACATTTAATTATTATAGATTTTTTAAAAAGAAATTTCATCATATCTCAAGAACGAATTTAGATATCACTATGAAATTTTAAAGCAAATTTAATATATTTTAAGTGTACTTAATGTAATTTCCATAAATTGCGTTATTATCATTTTTTAAACTCAACTCTGCACATTCGATTCTTTTGATTTTTGAACAGAAAATTAAAGAATCATATCTCAAGAACGAGTTGAGATATCATGATGAAATATCGAACGTTTTAAAACAAATTTAATGCAGATTTAATGTGGCAAACATAATTTCTTGATTTTTATAAACTTCATTGTTATGATTTTTTACACTCAACTCTGCACATTTGATTGTTATTGATTTGAGGGTTAAATTTAAAAAATCATATCTCAAGAAAGAATTGCGGTATCACAATCAAGTAAAGAACATTTTAAAGCAAATTTAGTGTACCATAAATAACTTCGTTGTTATGAACAAATTAAGACATTGGCGAAAATAAATTAATTATAGCAATAGGTTAGTTTAAGTTAAATTATACAACTGACCCATTTCCTGTTAGTATGTTGACGAGTATCACCCCGAGGAAACAAATCCATGCAAATTGTTGCAAATTGCTAGTTGGCATATCCGTGTACAATTCGAGATAATAGCGAAGGCACACGACTCGCTTACTATTCATACAAATTCAAGTACGAGTTCGCCCACCCGGCTTACATGAAGTTCTCGGGCGATTTGTCATCGAGGCTTTTAAACAAACCCCGTGGCGATAACGTGGTTTCGGTAATATAATTTGTTCGTGTTACAAAATAACACCAGAATTTCGAAGCCCCCCAGTTTGAAACCACTATATTATTAGGCAGGATGGTCGTTATCGATACCTCACTATTGACACTAATTAGCTATAAGCTAATTTCATCTATTCAATACGTCCCGCACCGAACCCTACTGATGTGATATAGCTAATTTACCACTACAATAGGATAACAGCTTAAATTCGATAGTATAAAAGCGCTCGTTGCGGTTAATTTGCGTTGAAAGGAGGTAAAAAATATACTTACATATGATTAAGTTGTTCTCGTATACGTAGTATAAAAGGAACGCAAAAAGTATGCTTTGATGGTCCGTTTTCTGTCGCATTTTGCTTCCCCAATTAGGAAACGACGTGACAACTATAATAAAAGAGAAAAAATACTAAAATTAATATTTTGTTGCGTGTAGATTTCCTCGGTGCGATTATTTTTATAGAATAGGTCGTTAAGATTTACGATACCAAGCGGTCAAGTGTTGTAATAACTTTCAATTATGAAAAACACGCAAACCATATGTAATAAAATACAATAACATTATTAATAATAGTATTATTATTACAATTATTTATAATTAATAATATTTATAAATGTAAACAAGCAATTATTTACGTTAATTTTAAAGCAAACATTAAAAAGCTATCAAAGGGAAAATTCAATTTTATTACGTGAATTAAATAATTTTGTGCACTCCACTAATTTATCTAAATAAATTTATTGTTTATTGAACCGCGGAATTATGCACAGCTTTTGATGATGCATCAATGTAATTGATAATTAACTTCGAAAATGGTTTCAATTTATTATCACAATAATATAAAATAATAATTCAACCGAAAATGTTCACCCTTTCCTCATACTGCTGACATTTACAGGCCGCATTTCAAGCACTTCGGCGACAGGAGGATCGCGAGAGGGAGATATATCTTTGTGAAAAGAGCCATCGTCGATGTGCTTATTGCGCTTTTCCCTCGAACCGATCGATTTTGATTTTATTTCCTCGTCGTTTCCCCGTTAAATTCAAATTCCAAGTTGAACCCGGCAAACAATACGGTTCATCGACGCAGTCATTTAAAGTTAAAGTCAACTCAAAACGGCAACTAGAAAATAAACAGGACGGTTAGACATACCTTTAGATGGCGGGAAGGATCCAGGTTTTGGAACGAGGGAAGTTGGCTTCGTTAGAAAAGACTGCTCGAAGCAACCTTACTTCGCACAAAAAGCAACTAGGTCACAAGGTTGTGTACCTTAAATACGCCGTAGAGAACGCTAACAATCGTTTTTCTTCCACCTTACGTGTGGATTTCACCAAAGACGCCCTTTACACCTTTACTAACTTCCGTTTTTTTAACTTTTTAGATTCCAAAGATTTCTTTTTTTTTTTTTTTAATTTTTAAATTTACTCCAACGAGATAATGGAAACTCGTTAACGTTTTAGAAATTTATCGGCGATAAATCCGACTTCCGGGAAATAAAGGCTAAGCGATATCATCTCTAAATATCGTCTATATACCCATAAATTTCGTGTTTCCAATTTTATTGCGGAGACGTCGCCGCGTACACAACATGCGAAAAAACTGAAGGAAATCACATGGTTTATCGATACTGCTGCTTCCTCTCTTTTCGCTCGTTAAAAGTTGCATTAATTTTAAATTTCCCCCCGGAAAAACCGATGTTTCAAAGGCGGAAGAATTGGAAACAATAGGACCTGCCATCGGTTTCTTAACGTAGTTATCGCCCAGCTCTTTGTTCTGCTACCCTTTCCGTCAAGATATCTAGGTCACAATTGAGCATTCGTTTGTATTGTTTCGTGAATAGAAGTTGGAAGTTATATTTTGTTTCTACTTCTTTAAATTGACACTTATTTTAAATGGGGAAACAACTATTTCATTTAAACTCAAGAGAATCGCAATCTTCTTGTTTGACACGATAAACGAGATACAATTAAAATGAAACGCGTTCAACCTTGAAGATGAATGCAGCTTGAAGCATGCACACTAGACATCCATAAAAGCTTTTATTGAAGTAGCGCAAATTAATTCATAAGGGAGCTAAATCATCATGTATCAGTTTCTGCAAATATCGGACAAAGAGAGTCTTGATTTTTCATATTACAGAGAAAAATATGAAGACAGAGATAAGAACCTCCAGCAAAAAGGCAAAAATCTAGAAATCCATAATTTAAGAGTATTCGTGGTTATCCATGTATTCATAATAATGTTAATGAGATAATTGATTCATATTTTTAATTATGATTAATCTTATGAAACGAGATAATTTAAAAAATCATTCTGACTTTATTTGAAGGAGTTAACAGATGAGCTTGGTATCAAATTGAAGGTAAAAGTCCATAATTTGAGAATATTCATGGTGTTCCATGCGTTCATAAGAAAATTGTTGAGATATTGGATAAAATCGATTGACATTTTTTGTTATGCTTAATTTTATGGATCGATAAAATTCAAAGAATCATACTGACTTTATTTGAAGGAGTTAAGAGATGATCTGGGTATCAAATTAAAGCTAAAAGTCCATAATTTAAGAATATTCATGGTGTTCTATGTGTTCATAAGACCATTGTTGAGATACTGGATAAAATCGATTGGCATCTTTTGTAATGATTTTATGAATCGATAAAATTCAAAGAATCATATTGACTTTATTTGAAGGAGTTAAGTGATGATCTGGGTATCAAATTAAAGCAAAAAGTCCATAATTTAAGAATATTCATGGTATTCCATGTGTTCATAAGAATATTGTTGAGATAATGAATATAATTGTTGATTAATTATTATTAATCAAAATAAATTCATTTTTGATCCCTACTTTAAGATATCGTGGTAATGAATGGATTAAATTTCAGAAATACGTTACAGCGTAAATTAAAGTTTGAAATATGCTTTTTAATTTGACATAATAGTCGTTTCTGAGATCTCATAAATAAATTAGTTACAATTTTTTTTAAATGTGTAGATTTATTATTCGAGTATATCATTTCAAGCAAACTTACTTTGCAAATTTGTTTGTTTGATTTATGTAAAAAGGATTAATTTTGAATTGTATGAAAGTTAAAACCTTTGCAAAGATGTGTTTCTTTATTCAGAAAGGAAACTTCATTAAAAATTGAAACCGGAAAGGAATCGCGTTTCCACCCTAAAAGGTTTTAAGCTGAAATTTAATAGTATCTAAAGAAGTCGAAATACCCTGAAAATCTGGTCGATGCTAAACAAATTGCACTACGGTGGAAGAGTATAAATGAAATGAGGGATGAAATTCCGTGTACCCATTATCCGAATTGTGTTTAGGATCATTTAGATTTCGCGTATATCTCTGATAAATTGAACCACTTTGATGGTATTTTCTGTCGCAATTAGTGAAAACAAACTCGCCGTCGGGGATGATTCGCGCGAAATTAATGAATTCAAAAACTTCTTTGGACACTGAACGATTGCAGCGGTTTCGCCCGGGGAAAAACGCAATTATTACTGAAACTCAGCTGGACCATTATTAAGCATTGATTGATTGTTGTGGGAAAATGGCGCAAAATAATTATGGAAGTTAGACCGAAAACTGACAAAATCATTAATCACGAAGGTAAAGTAATCACGAAACTGAGAGATATTGTTTTTAAATAAAAAAAAGTTTTTTAATTGAATTCGCTTAAATAGATTTAATATAGATCAATTGACATTTCAAGGATGACTCTGTATTTCCTCGTTAGTGAATTCACCCCTTGTCTGCAAGACAAATGACCTGACTGTCTAAAGTTTTAATTACCTCACGATTAAGTTAAACTCAACCTCATAGCCGATGCAATCAATGTCGGTCAATTCAACAAATAAACCCCGTTTTTGTTGCAATTAACTCCAAACTGGATATAAACCCCAAACCATTATAAAGTTCAGGTAAATTAAACCAATTGAATATTAAATTTAATACGTTTAGTTCCGGTTTGAACGAATTGAACATCGCGAATTCGATTATACTGAAATCAACCCTTGCGGAAATGTACATACAACGGAAGTCGAGATTACGGGTTACTTACAGGTCATTTGTTCTTGAATAGAGTTGCTCGAATAAAGCAGCACCCAAGTTTAAACTCAGCGGTTTTCCCGAAACAATTCCGTTACCGGTAAAATATGTCCAGAGAATTTCGAATCTTGATTCGTGAAGCAAGATTAAAGTGGTCACCGTGACCATTAAACACCAACTACCGAGGCGTTATCGCAAATTACACGACAATTATCTATGTTTTACTACAATTCCGGTCGTAATTAAACCCTCTTTGTAAATGTATTTGTTGTAACTTTGTAAATGTGGTTTCAAAGTCATTTTCTTTTTATCAAACATTCACGTTTACTTCATCGTCTTAGAGGTTAAGTGATTTTCCGAGTTTGCAATAAAGTTTTAAATCGGTGCGGAAGTTTCAATCGCGTGAATATTACCTGGGAAAAAAGGTTTTTTTATTTTTTTTTCTTCGATTTCTCTCCCCGGCAATAATTCTATTTCTAACGGATTCGCGAACGAAACGAACAGGTACGGTGACGAAATAGAAAAACCGAAGCGAACTCGGCGTGAAACTTATCGAAAAGTTCCGATAAGTTTTACGACAACCGTACCCCGGAAGTCCTCGGATTTACCACGGGAATAATTTCCAGTCGCGATGTCAATCCTCGTAGATTCCAAAGTTTTTCTTGGTTTATTCGAGAAATGTGTTTCGAGGAAGGTTTTCGATCGATTCTAATTAAATTTGATATTGACTAATTAGGCTGTAAGTCGTACTCGAAATTCCCCGGATATAATTGCCACCATGATTCAAATTTAATTAGAAGTGAATATCCGATTAGGTGTGAAATGCGTTTCAATTAGAATCAGAAAAATCAAATTGAGGAAATCGTTTGAAAAGGAATTTAGTTTTCAATTGGGTGCGCTTATTTTTGATTTCAAAGTCGAAGAGGAAAAAGGCTTACACCCTTTGCAATTATTCAAAGCTTTTCCAACTGACTGTTTACTTAGCTTGTTTACGACCAGGGTCGTATCAATAAAAGCTGTGAGATACGAATGACTTATTAATACCTCACTGAACTTTACGAACACCCACAACATCAAAATAAATTAAAAGACATTTATACTGCTTATATAAGGTGAGTAGTAAGTCGGAAGCTTTTAAGATAAATGAAGACATACGAGGGAGAAATTACGTTATAGTCTTCACTCAAGCACATAAACCCCATCTAAATCGTTTTTTCCAAATTAGATAAGATTTTCATTTATTAAAATACTTGATGCAAATGATACGTGTAATTAATATTAATTAGATTTGGAGGTCTGTAATATATTCCGCGTGCATCGAAACGTATGTCTGTTCAGAATAAATTATAGCCGGTTTAGACGTCGAGGTGCCATTTCCGAATTAATTACAATACATTATGAGGCCCTTTGGATCCAAAAAGATTATTATTAATTTTATAATAAAATAACAATAATAATAAGAAAAACTTTACTTAAATAACATATTACATACTCAAATAAAAATAATTAAATTTAAATTTAAAAAAAATAATTAATCGTTTCTTACATATTTTAATTAGAATCTCAAATGAAAATCCTTAGAATTCACAATCACTTCTGCCGCCACATCGTAGCGACACAACACGCACAATTTTCTCAATAAACCAATCACCATGATTGAAATATAAAAAAAATAACTCAATTTTTTTGTGAAAAACTGTTTTGGGATTTTGTGAATAAAAAAATGTTTATCCGTTAGACGTCAACGTGGGCAACATTTATGTTTCGACGAGCTTTTTATGGCGTACAGCAGAACTACATCCATCAATCAAATTGGTCTCGATATACGCGATGTCGAATTTTCGTCCTTTTCGACGTTACGTAACGACACGAACCAAGTTTTGATAAGGACTGTGATGGTATCCTGTTCGTCCCGGCTACAGCCCCCACCTTCAAGTCCTGCGCAGGACGTTTTGCAACCCGATTGAAGGGCTCCCGCGAAGGGATACGCGACGAACGCAACGAACAACACAAATTTTTACGGGAAAACCATAAAAAAGGAGAAACGGAACGAACGACCTGGAGAGTAATAAAGAGTAATCCCCCATTATCCTTGCACTTTTTTCTACTTTTTACTTTATTAAATTTCGATATACCCATAACCTGAGGGGACCTTCAGCGACGTCTCAACGATCCCACGATAAAAATAAAGATAAAGCCGGCAACCCCACTTTAACTTTACAACGTTTTCAATAAAAAGGGCAGCCGTAAAGGGCTTTCCTTCGGATTCCCTCTGTCCTTAAACACAATAAGATGTACCAAAACTCTGTTATCACTTCTTTGATCCAATGTAACTTTTTATTCATACAAAAAATTTTTTTTAGAAATTTTTTTTTATTAGTTTATTTTATTATTTATTAAATTACACAAAATTGGTCTAAAAAAAGCTAAATTATATCGGTATACAACTTTGAAAACAAACTACCATGAAATCCACCATTATCTACTTCTTCATTAATATTTATACTAATCATATTCATTTCTCTCAAAATTAAATTAAAATTTTACTTTTTAAACCTGGTTTTCCAACAACTTATCAATCAATTCCTCATGCGATCCGTAGTTTATTAACTACGAATATCTCATGAAGATGGCATCGATATTTCCTCTGGATTTCGTTACACCACAAACCATATCTCTGGAGTACAGTCGTTCTTCATTCCTCAAAAATCATCTCAAAAGTACTGGCTATTCCCATTACAGGAAAAAATTACGAACTTACAGGTTAATTACTCACCATCACTTTTTACGAAACTGGTAATAAAGGATACCATGCAGAATCTACAATGACCCAACGCAACCTTTTTTTTATGGCAGTCAGACGCTTTCGCATTACGTCAGACTGCCATATCCGATTTCAACTGTTACCTCTTCTTCCCCATTTCTTCCATCTCTCTTCACCTCCAGATTCTTGTCGTCGTTCCTTATTAGATTATTTCTCCTTCTTTCCTTCCCCGTACTATCAAATCAAAGATATTTTCTGCGTTGATTCCTTCCCCTATGAGTTCCTCTGCAATTCTTCTATCTTCTTGGAATTTTTTACATTCAAAGATGGTATGTCTCGGCGTATCTTGTTTATTGCATGCAAACCAGCATAGCTCTGATTCTACCTTCCCAATATTTGTGAGATAGCTATCGAACGTACTATGTCCAGTTATCCAGGGGCTGGCCCACCATGTATACACATCCCATCTTTCTTGCCATCTCATAAGCATTTCGGTATGGTTCTCATTTTTTATGACAAAGTGCCAGTTTCCAAGCTGGTACTGCGTACAGTGTGACCAATTGTATCGTGGTTGCCAGTATCTTCCTCCTTCCTAGACTCTGACTATGATTATTATTTATGCTCATAGTTGTAAGCTTACGCCTTACCTCTAGTATAACCAGTTCAGTTTTTTTCTGGTACAAGCGTGAGACTCGTCGATTCAAGAATTCGTTTTGTTTCTTCTATACAACACTCAACGCTACAATAACCCAACCCAACCCGACCCTTTTGTAACGAGGTTGGGGAAAATCTGCTATACAGACCCCTGATCTGGAATCGTGGGTGATCTGGTAGTGTCGGATAGGAGACCATCTTTGGATCCCCGACCGATTAAATCTTTTCCTCAGCTATCCACGTGACGTTGGACGTGTTTTAATCATCGACCAAACGTGGTTGTCATTGGCATCGCTCACTATTAGTTTTTCCTCTCCTTCCTTCTGGACCAAAACATCCTTTACAAATGTCGCTATGGCATCCCACATCTCCACGCTGCTCAACATATAATCCTCTGTATTTTTTGAAGTAATCCCTGCACTCAGGTATTCGCATATCCTTTTTCTTTCATCACTCCATCGGAGGCTGTGTAGAAAGTGTGGTCAGCGTCGTCCCTCTCCTCACAGTAATCGCACACATCCGTAGTTCCTCTTTTGTGTAAACATAAATATGGTTTGTATCATCCGTGTCCTATCAGCAATTGACTGAGGTTGCTCTAGATCTTTCACCCAACCCGACAGATTACCAAGGTACGTCACAAATCTTGTAAAGTTTTGCCTGATATTAACATGCTTAAAGCTGAAATGAATGTTATGCCTACTAAAAAAATACTTAAATCATTTCAACAGCCAGCATCATTGGACATTTGATCTCTTGCCACGAGGGACACAACTAATATTAAAGTGTAAGGAAGTAACCAACAGTATAAATAATACATAAAAGGGAGAATGACAATTATGACAATTTTAAATATATGTTTGAAATGAAGTTATATCCACTTTTTAATCAAAACGAATACTTGGTAGTAGTAAAATTTAAAATCGCTGATGCGTTGTTTCCCTAGAAACGAAACTATATCTTCCGCTACATCGATAAAGCGAGAGAAATTTTTGCCAGGACTGGTTGTGGGAGTGGAAATTTTCTTCTCGGGAATGGATTCGCGCAACATCTAGCAGCCGTGATCGATTCGATCGTAACCCCATGCAATTTTTTCGCCACGGGAGGTTGGTGGTTATTTGGTTTTATGCATTACGAAGCCGTGCGATATCGCGAATTTATCATTTTACCTAATACAGTGTTCTCTCGAACGCTCGCGGCCTCATTTCGTCATCAAGACAAGCTTCGGGTTCGTTTTTCCTCATCAATCAGTCGGAGAACCACGATTTTCTTTTCTCTTAAAATAAAATTTTCGTTTATATTAAAGGCGAAGATGAAGTTGTCCGCAGGGAAATAATGTTGGGGTCTTCAATTTAGTTAAAAGCCGCGTAAAACGTTCCTCTTTAATCCCATTAGAAAATTTTTACATCCAATGCAATCACGTTGCAATATTTTCAATAGCACTACCAATCAATAAGGGATTAACAGTTTCAATGTATTCGGTAGCGGCGATAAAAAGCTTTTTGTTCGGGGAGAAGGGCTCAAAAAGGTTTTTGTTTCCCTGGAAAAATATGCTGATGTGTTTACAGATCTGCAAAAATGGATTTTTTTGTGCGATACCTTCTTTTATGTCACCGTTAATATCATCTGAGACCTCATCAATTTTGTTATTGTTTGTCATCTAAAGCGGAAAGAATTGATTACTTTTCTCATGGAAAAGCCGCTTTTCCACGAACCTACTGTATCTCCTTTTCGCGATAATTATCTACATTATTAAAGCCGCAAGTTCCTGGCGAAAACTTCTCAGATAGAGCTCGAGTAGGGAAGGACGACGCTACATCCTAATTAAACTTTAATTATTCAAATTGTATTTCGAAGTATAATTAGAAAACTTTTATATTGGAATTTGTATTATCCCCTATTGAGGATTATTGTCAATTGTTTTGACGTTCATAAAATTAAATAAAAAAGATTCGTTTTATTTTAAACATTTAATTCGAATCGCAAATAACGTTGGCGGAAGCATTTAAAAACGGTACGAGAATAAAGCAAAGCGTAAGAAAAACAATTCGAGTAAAATCAGGGAGCGCGCAGAGTAACCAAATTTAATTACCCGCACATTTCTGACCCCGCGCCCGTCCGAAACGGCCAAAGTTGATTTTCCGTATTTCCTTTTTCGGTAGAAGAATTCAGCTCGCATCGCACTTCCCGATTCGTTCCTTGTAAAGCAAATAGAGGCCATAAATTTTTACAGGGTGGGTAACGCAGGGGAATCGGGGGACACTCACCAGACGGTTACAGATTTATCGCGCCAATCGAAACCCCGGATTAAATTTTTATTTCATTCCAGAAACCTCCACTTTTACAATAATAATAATTTTTATTGAACCGAAATATACTAATAAAGCTACAACTTAGGATCACCACCTGACTATGTTGTCCCCATCGTGATAACTACTCCGGGAATTCTTAATTCCGGTTTTAAAATGCAAATTACCAAGTGGCAAGCGGTAAAAATTGTAACGAAACATCGACCTAAGGGCAAGGCGGGTCTCGTAACGTTTAACTGGGGTTAAGGGCATTTAGCTCTTCGAAGATTTCACAATTTCATCTAATTAGCTCTGCAATTACCGAGGAGTCGAAGCTTTTGTGTTTTTTCGTTCTGTAATGATTGATCGACATTAATTAAATCAAATGAAGAAAAAAAGTCGACTTTTAAAGTCAATTTTAATAAGATTTTTCTTTTTCTTCTTCGTTAAAAATATTCATTAGTTCCCTAAGCTAGAATTTATACGGTTGGAAAGATGATAACGCTTATACAATGCTATGTAACAAACCGCAGCATTGCAGACTAATGAACGCATCCAAATCCTAAATGATCTGAATACTTCAGTTCAGAGGACCATTCGGTGAGCTTTGTATCGGAAATCCGAATGGATCGCATATAGTCTGTCGACGGTTCCAATAGATGAAGCCGTTCTATCCCAGCATTACCATTGTGTCCAGGGTTCGCGCGAGAAAATTACGGTGTTATTTATTTTGATCGAAATATTTCCGGGGCCGGGACCATTGTGCGGCTTGAAAAACGGTTGTCGCGGTTTCATTTCGCGTTTGACGTTTCATTCCGCATGCCAAACTGGATGAAACCAGTTCTGTATCGTACACAGAACCTGCACACACACACTTTTTTTTTTCGGGAATAAATCGATCCCAAACGAATTAAACAAATTCGCACTGCACGGGCTTTTGTTTTAACTGAAATGACAGCCATAACTAATTACGCCCCACGTTCTGAATTAATTGGTTTGATTTATTGTTGTATTGTTCATTTTCGATATCGACGAAATGTCCGTTATATTATCACAATGACAATAGATAAAGAATGGGGTGTATATTTTATATATATAATTTTGAAAGGGAAACATAATATGAAATATTTTTGATTGATAAGATATTAAATAACTTTAATAATAACTTTCAAAT